GTCCTGTATACAAAGCTTAAAAATAAGCTTTGAGAACAAACCATTATCAAGAAATTTGTCTGTGTCTCAGAACAAAGTTCAATTAAAATTTTATTAATAATAAATATATAGCAGCTTGAACGCTAAAATTCAAAAATTCACAATATATGACCTATAATCAAAATTAACCAGGCAGTTAAAAAGCATGGAAGCATGACCACGAATTAGGAGAATAATCAATAGAATCACATCTCAAATAATATTATAGACTCAGTAGACAAAGACATTAAAAGATTTATTATAATTCAAATCCACATGTTCAACAAAGGTGGATGAAAGATTGAGCATATTAATAGATATGGAAAATGTGAAAAAGGTCAAATTAAACTTCTAGACATGCAAAATATAAGATTTGAAAAATATACAATCTATGAAATAAACAGAAAATTCAAAACTTCAGGAAAAAAAACAAAAAGTAAAAGCACATTAGTCAACTTGAAGTCAAAGGAATAGAAAATATTTAAAATGAAATATAGAGAAAAACAAGAGTCTGAAAATCAATAAGTAGATTATCAGTGAGCTGTAGGACATCTTTAGGTGATCAAATATATGTATAATTTGGGTCTACAAGGGAAAATAGAAAGGAAAGGCAGAAAAATATTTGAGTAATAATGGTGGGAATGTTTCCATGTTTTATTAAAAACCATTAACCAGCAGGTTTCAAGAAATTCAAGAAAACCCAAGTATAAGAAACATGAAGAAAACAACAGCAAGTTATATAAAGTTAAATTACTTACACCAATGATAAGCAGGACATGTTAATAAAGACAAAAAAACTATAAAATGAAAAAAAACCCAGAAATACAAGAGATGAAATCAATGAAATCAAAAGTTGATTTTTTGTGAAAATCAACTTTTAATACATTGTGACAAAGTGGGCCAAAAAAAGTAAGGCTATTTTAACCACTGAAAATTAATATGTCACCATATTTAACAGACTCATAGGGAAAAAATACAATAATAGTTTTAATAGCTATGAAAAAAATAGTTGGCAAATCTAAAACCCATCCTTAATGAATACTGTCAGTAAGCTAGTGATAGTGGGGAATTTCCTCAATCTGAGAAAGGACATTTCAGAGAAACTTCTGACTAACATCAAAGTTAATCATAAACTAAATGTTTTCCCTTTAACAGCAGCAGGAAGTCAAGAATGTCTGTTTTTACTACTTCCATTCATCATTATAATGGAGGTTCTAGTCTACGTAATAAGACAAGAAAAAATATAAAAGGCATCCAGATTAGAAAGGAAGAAGTAATATTTTATCACCAAAGACATTGTCATTTATATAGAAAATCATACGATTCTACATAAAGATATTTTAAAGCTAATTATTTAATTGGTCACAAGATATAAAATCAATAAACAAAGTTCAATTTAGCTTCTACATTCAAAATGAATAATCAGAATTAAAAATATCATTTACTATAACAATAGAGGTATATTTTTCTTAGGGAGAAAACTTAAAAATGTGAAATAAATACATTGAAAACTACAAAAACATAGCTGACACAAATTAAAGAGACGAAAATAAATGAAGAGATAAACTGTATTTATAAATCCAAGGATTAAACATTAGGAAGACTGTAATACTCCTGAAATTAATCTAAAAACCCAACTCAGTTGTAATTATGGCAGCCTTGTTGGAAGACATTGATAAGTTGATTTGAATGAAAATTTAAAGTATTTATAATAGCCAAAACAGCTTTATAATGAAAAATAAGGCCAGGCACAGTGGCTCACGTCTGTAAACCAAGTGTTTTGGGAGGCCAAGATGGTAGGATTACTTGAGCCCAGGAGTTTGAGGTTACAATGAGCTATGATCATGCAACTGCACTTCAATTTGGGTGATGGAGCAAGACTCTGTATCATAAAGAAAAGAAAAAAAGAAAAAGAAAAAGAAATTTAGAGTTTTATCCTATCTGACTTGTAGATATCATGAAGCCACAATAATCAAGAAAGTATGGCATTGGTTTAAAGTCAGACGAAAAGATCAATGGACCAGAATAGACTATGATAAATAGACTCACTCACATATATGTAATTGATTTTCAATAAAGATGCAAATTAATTCAATGGAGATAAGATACTACTACTATGCTGGAACAGTTGGATATGCATATGCCAATAAAAATGAACTAAAATCCATACCTTACATTATATGTAAAATTAACTCAAAATGAGCACAGTTTTAAAATATAACTAAAATTACTAGAATAAAGCAGAGGAGGAAATCAAATTATTATGTATGTACCCTAGGGAAATATTTCTTATAGATGACATCAAAAGTATGACCCATAAAAAAGAAAATTTAATAATAACTCTATTATAAGAAACAAACTTTTTTAAAGAAATGGTTACAATTTTTAAAGTCACTTTATACACTAAAATGCACACTTGATAAATTAGCACATTTGAACATACTCAACATCATTAGTAAGTAACAAATTGGAATGAAGCCCCTACACAGCCAGTAGAATATCTAAAATTAAGATCAACTAGGCCATTATGCTGGTGAAGATGTAGAGAAACTGGAATTCTTACACATTGATGCTGAAAATGTAACATAACACAAATACTTTGGGAAATAGTAGGGCAGATTCTTAAAAAGTTAAACACATTTACTATATAACCCAGCCATTCAAATTCTAGGTAATTATGCAAGAGAAGCGATAGGGAAATCAGATATGGAAAGCACATGAAAGATTTGATGTAATGTAGATATTTATAAGGTAGTTAGGATATTCATCAATGCTGGTAGGCATTCAAATTGTACAGAGGGACTAGAGAATTAGGAATATAATATTGTTTTACCACATGAGGCAAACTTAGTTTCTTTTTATCTATTCTAAAGAATAATTAAAAACATCCACAGGGTGTGTGTGTGTGCCAGTGTGTATGTGTGGATATATATGGATAAGCTTGTCCCTATACTTGCATTATTTAGTACACTAAATAGTCTAAACTATCTTAAATGCAAATCATAAAGAATTGTTAATAGCATGGAGCATTAAAAAATAAGTGTTGTCAAAATTAATTGTAATAGGAAATTTACTAGATTGACTTTCAGTGTAAAAAAAATGAATGCAAATTATAGAGGGAATACACTCTGAACATTTTATGTATTTTACATGCAAATCCATGGATACATAAAGATCACATCCATAAAGATACAAATTACAACAAGGAAATACACAATATGTGTATAGTACTTATCACCAGGTTTATAGGTCAGTATTTTTTTACAGATCATTATTTCTTATATTTCAACATTTCCAAATATTTTTTTTCTATTTATATAATGAATATGTAAATACTACCTTGGAATAAAATAATGAATAAAGTTTAAGCTACTCAGTGCTTATAATGACAAATATCTCAGGTCACTTCTCTAATGACTTCCACTATAGCAGTAGTCCTAACTCTAAATTCATCTTCTCCTACTACAAAGAATGTTCATTTATTTCCAGCCATTATGGGCTCCTTGCTGTTTGTTCGAAATCTAGGTAATGCACAAAACTTCTTGGCCTTTGCCCATATTTTTCCTTTGCTTATTATATTTTTTCTCCATGTACCTACATGGATCATGTTTTCTCACTCCCTTTGGATCTCTTCTCAATGTCACCTTATTGAGGGAATTCTCATGGGCCTCATTAAAATTGCAGCTTCCTTCCCGAGCATTGTCTATTCGACTCACCCTCTTTGCATTTTTTCCATAGCATTTATTACTACCTTTCTAAAATTATATGTTTACTTGTTTAGTTAGAATGGAAGTTCATGAAGGCAATGCATTTATCTGTTTTATTTTATACAATATTTCCAGCACCTATGCAGTGTTAGGCATATCCTCTTTCCTTGAAAAATATTTGTTAAAACTGTATAGAAAAATAAAATAAAAAAATGCAGATCCTATATTCATATATATCTCTTTCTAAAACTAAATAGTTTAATAATCAAAATTATTTTCATATCCCTTTAAAATATTTCATGGTACTTTGCCTATGAAATATTAAGTAATGATCTACTCAAGTATATAGTAAACAAACAGAATTTTGATTCTGGAACACTGTTCTTGAGCTTATTTAAGTACAACATTTGCCCAGAAGGAAAAATAAGCTACCTTGATCTGCTAACCCATACGTAGGGGTGAGTCTTCAATTTGCAGACTATTCAAACTTGTTAGGTTCAACAGCCAGGTGTGAAGAAGAAAAAGTACAACCTACGAATTTCTCTTAGAGATGCAGATTGTACCCTCAGTTTATGTGTCCTCTAGAGGAGAAAATTTGATATTTAAGATGTAAAGTCTGAAGAAACAAATAACTTCTCAATAGAATAGAGCCTGGCTCTTTCCCTATTTTGTTTTTTCTCTTCCTTAAACTAAGAGTTTCATGAGGATAGAAATGTCCCCTTAGAAATTCTGCCAAAATTGTAGCAATTATTTCAAAACCCTTGGCAACGCTTAGTGGAAAAGAATTACAAAGGTAGTTAAAAAGGTACATTCAAAATGATAGTGATCACATTTCTATAAGTATTTTACAGTTTATAGAATTTTATTTATATACATATACACATATAAACTTTTATAAATGATATATGCACATATATACTTTTATAAATGTGTGTATATATATTTCTATCCTTGTAAAAAAAAAAAACCCTAATGCATAAAAGCAATGTGCTAATACACTGATTTCCCAACTGAGAGAAAACTGTCTCAATGAGATTAAGCAATTTACCATAGGAGAAATTTGGAAAGAGGCAAAGCAGAAGGAGTTAATTAGACTCTTGATGGATATCTCTTTTCCTTACACCCACAGGTCTATTTAACATCCATTTCTAATTTTAAGTGGATTTTTCATTTCTCATTCTTCTCTTGTGGTTATTCTCATTATACTTTTCTTCCATCTGATATATAAGTCATTATTTGTGTAACACAAAAATATTTTTCTTCAACACTAGAGCCTTTATTTGGGGGGCATATAGTAACATTTGCATCCAAATGTGTCAGGATAGGTTATCTTCTGCTGTGGTAGCAAAACCTCCCACAACTGCAGCAGCTGTTTTCTATGCTCCACACCCACATCCTGTCCCTCAGGTACAGGCAACTACAGAATCTTTTCAACATGTGCTTCCACAATCAGTGTGGTAGGAAGAGGGGGCCAAAGTGAAATTGCTAGTTCCTATGGCTTCTACTGGAATTGAAAAATGTATTTCTGAGAAAAAATATTTTTTGGCTTATTTATTTCTCTATTTATTTTCCAAAGCAATGGCATATGGGTCAGAAGAGTTCAACTCTACCATGCACCTAAAGTACCAAATATATTTGTTAAAAAACTCTAAGATTACCAAATGTATGCTATAGGAATAAACAATTTCAAAATTAGGTGAATATAACTAATTCACAGTATAAAATGATTCAAAATATGATATAATGAATTCATTATACTTTCATTAGTAACAATATAATGATAACAGACTAGGAAGTTCATAATCAGTAACAGAGGAAGAATAAAAATAGTCCCTGAGATTTAGATCAGTAAACTCAAAATAATTCCCAATGAGTCTGTCACCAGAATAACATGTAGATTGAGAATACAATTTGAAAATTTTACTCACTTGGGAAATTTATATTTTTAGGAGACTTCATTCCCTAATATTTTAGTGGTCTTCAATATTGTATGAAATTCTTCAATCCCCTAAGAGAGATACCAGAAAAAAAATAGTGCTTTAAACCCAAAAGATATTATTTAGATCTTTAAATCACATACTATATTAAATAGCAATAGATGTGGAAGTAAAAAATAGATAATTTCTATTAATTCAATCTATATATATTTGCTGAGTACCTAATTGGTAATAAACTATTTTTAAGGCCCTTTGTTTTAGCAAGGAAAGAGAGAGAATACAATGCATTTACCCTACTTAGGTATTAATGTCACATAGTCTCTAATCATAACCCTGTTTCACTTTATTCAAATAAACTATCCAAAGTAGATAAATATACAGGTTTTGCTGAAGGATACTTCTTAATTAGAACAGCCATTATCAAAAACAGTATGGAAGTTTCTCAAAAAATCAAAAACTGAACTACCATATAATCCAGCAATCCCACACTGGGTATATATATATCCAAAGGAAATGAAATCAGTATGTCTAAGAAATATCTGCATGCCCATGCTTATTGCAGCATTATTCAAAATAGCCAAGGGTTGGAATAAACCTAAGTATTCATCAACAGATGAATGAATGAAGAAAAGTGGTACATATACAGCAAGGAATACTATTCAGCCATAAAAAGAAGTCCTGTTATTTGTGAACATATGGATAAAATTGGAGGACATTATGTTAAATGAAAGTAAACTTGGCACAGAAAGATGACTACTATACTTTCTTACTCAGATGTGAAATCTAAAAACGTTGATCTCATAGAAGTAGAGAGTTGAATGGTGGCTAGCAAAAGCTAGGGTGTTTTCAAATGGTGATTGGGCTTGAGGAGATGTTGGTTAATAGATACTAAACTTCAATTGGGTATGAGCAATAAGTTCAAGAGATCTACTGTACAACATGAGGATATAGTTAACAATGTATCATAGTCTTGAAAAATGTTGAGAGTGGGTGTAAAGTGTTTTCTTTAAAAAGTGATAACTATATGAGATAATGCATATGGTAATTAGCTAGATTTAGTCATTCCACAATATATACATACTTCAGATATCATGTACATGATCAATACATGAAATTTATCTGTAAATTTAAAATATCAAAAAGTAAATATATTTAAACACTTAAAAAAAAAAGAAAGCCACTTCCTTTTTCCTTCAGAATACTCACATAAAACCTTATTGAGCATGAGAAATTTCAGTTCCATGAACTCACTTGATCAGAAATTCTGTCTGCTTTTTAGTTGGCACTTGCATTCTTTTCTCCACTGTCATTTTTCATGTTATCAGTTTATAAACACTCCTGTGACTATATTAAATGGGAAAACAGATACTGAGAATGTAATTTAGGTTACTAATAATTTGACCAGGAGTTAATTAAAGGGAGTCTATCCAGGTGTACCTGATATAACCACATGAGCCTTCAGATCTGGTGCTGGAGGTCAGACACAGATGAAGAAAAGGTGATTCAAAACACAGGAAGGATTCAACTTCTCTTTGCTGGCTTTAAAAATGTGGGGGCCTGCCTGACAAGAAATAGCACTTGTCTTCTTGGAACTGAGATAGAACCCTGGGAGGATGTATTCTGCTATTAACCTGAATGAGCTTGAAGTGGATTCTTCTCCAGAGCCTCCATATAGGTGATCCAGTCACTCAATCCCTTAGCAGAGAATCTAGTCAACCACACCTGGCATTGTGACATGTAGCCATGTAATATCATAAATGGGTATTGGTTAAGTCACTAAGACATTGATATTTCATTATGCAGTAATATAAAATTAATATGAGAAGGATTTTAATTGCCAAATTCCCCCAATCTATGAGACAGGTAGAAAGTATCAGGTTCCTCCATAACTCAAAATGCTAGGTGAAGTATCTAGCACAGTGCTATTCAGTAGAAATAAAATATGAATCACAAGTTCAAGATATAAATGTAATTTCATTTTTAAGAAAAAGACTGAAAAGAAATAGGTATAATTAATCATAACCAGATATTTTATTTAACTTAATATATTTAAAACAGTATCACCTCAACACTGTTCTTTTGGCAGAATACCTAGATCTGTATCCTCTGTTGCTATTTTCTCAGTGACCGTGAGCATATTAATGAACCGTTTTGAGACTTTGGAGTTTGTTCTGAGTATTTTAAACTACATACATGTAATATCTGTTTTATAGTACATACTGAATAAACAAAACTGATTACTCTGATACATTTTATTACACCTAACCAAGATATTTACTCATTATATATTCACAGCAACAATATGAGATTAATGTTTTTTTTCCTTAATTCACAGGTGAGGAAAATGAGCCTCAGAGTTACTAAATAACTTATCTGCACTGTCTCAAAGAGAGAGAGTTTCAGAACTGTTATTTAAACTGATTAACTTCTGATTGTATTATTTACATTGTATGTGTCTATGAGAGAGAAAGAGAGAGAGAGAGAGAGAGAGAGAGAGAGAGAGAGCGACAGACAGATGTGGTAAAATAGAGTAGGAGAGATAAGACAAAGAAAATATAAATTATATTATAGTTGCTTTTTCCCCTTACCCAGCCTTCCTTCCCATTAACATAATACATACTAGAAAGGACAGTCTTACCAATGCCAAACTATGTTTTGACTTTTATGAACATAAACTAAAATAATGAGTTTGATTGTTACAATCAGGGTGCATTTGGGGACTGTGTGAAAAGTTCAATTGTTCAGACAAGTTAGCAGTCAAAATAAGGAAGAAAGAAGAGTGTGTTTATTTATTATTTTAATTATATTTTAAAAATTAAGTAGGATGTATGAAAAGTGTTATGTGACTTCCTTATCTGTAATGATCAGATAGTTATTACTTTGTAGTAGTCATGTACTCATCAGTTTATAGATGATTCACTTAGTAAGAAAATACTCATAATTCATAGAATGATAGAATGGATACATTTGCATATTGCAACATTGATTTTTCTTAGTGACTTCAGCAAGTATTAAAAGAAAAGTTAAGGAAAAATATTACTACCAGTAATACATAATAATCATAGATAAGGAATTTTTGTTAGATAGATTGGTAGATAGATATAGACAGATACATAGATAGATATTAGATGCTGTGTTAACACAAAGCGTTAAATTGTCTAGGTAGATACACATATAGCAGATCTTTTCCTATATTTAACTTTCCTAAGACTCAAAGGATACAGGGAAGCACAAGGCACAGAGGAGATATTTCGTAAAAGTTCTCAAGTCTATCAAATGCAGCACCAAAATAACCTCTCTTTTTGTTCCCTACATTTGGATGCATTTTAGTTTAGGTTGAATAAAATTCATCATAGTAATCAGTTTTGTTTTTTGAGTATGTACTATAAAATAGATATTATGTATACATAGTTTTAAATATTCAGAACAAACTCCAAAGGCTCAAAAAAGTTCATTAATATGTTCACAGACACTGAGAAAATAGCAATAAAGAATATGGATCTAGGTAATCTGTCAACAAAACAGTTTATTAAATGATGCAATTTCAGTTTGGGTACTCTTCTCTGTTACATACTCTTAATTACCAAATAAGAACATGTTTATGTTTCCATTCTTCAACTTGGCATGCCCCTTAAATGAATAAGTTCTAGTTCATTTAAAGTAATCAATTTAATATGACCAGGCAGTTTCTTTTAAATTATTTTATACATAGGAATTCCTCATAACATTAGTAATCGCATACATGATCAAAGAAAAAACTTATTTGGACGATGCATTGGAATTTTGTAGAATCTTCACTCAGCTACTCATCCCCAAATACATGTAGAGTGAGATATTTGTTAACATTTCTTTCTTAATTTCTTTTGGATTTTGTGCCATCATTTTGTCGAGTTTAATATATTTTGTGGGAGTAATACATGTAAATTATAGACCTACTGAATATAAATATTCTCTACTATTAAAATAAAGATTAATAATCTGGGAACTGTGACCATATATAATAGTAATTTTTATATATATTTCATACAGCAATAGTGTACACTTACAGATATTTCCTTTAATTTTTCACAGCTATCAATATGAAGGGAGTTTCATATCCATAAGTTCAACACATGGAGGAATGAGCGCTTGGTGTCATTAAATAACTTATGCCCAGTTTCAAAGAGAGTGAATGGCAGAACTATTATTTAAATGACTTACGTCTGATTCAAGTATTATTTACATTGTGCGTATAGGAAGATGAGAAAAATAGAATATAGTAAGAGAGATGAGAAAAGAGAATTAAATATAAACAAAATGGAATGAGTCAGCCAGATAAGCTTGAATCCACACAATGTATTTTAATCAAAGTTTCTACAACTATTAGTTTCTGTAAGACATGTTTTTTTCGCCTTAGATGAAAAATGATGCCATCCATTCTCTACCAATTGATGTTGATATGTGAGTAGTGACAGATTTATGAAAGAGTAAGGTTGTATAGAAGATGTATGGCTTAAGGAAGAGAGAAACCATCTGTGTTGGGCAATGTTTTTGCGTTACTTAATCTAATTGACCAAATAGTTTTTTAAAAATTGGCGAAACAGAGCTTATGTCTATGCCTTGACAGTTAGATGTAGGAGTACAAGATTTGCTCAAATATTACTTGGATTCAATTGTGTAGGCTTGAAATAAAATTTTATGAGATTTTGCAGTGCTGGATTCTGTAAAAAATGGGTCTGCATGCTGAATAAGTTCTTATCCATTGGTTTATTTGACTGATTCTGTGTAACCAAGTATCTGCTGTCTAGTCATTCTTCCCAAGATCTCCAAAATCGATCTTTACCTTAGCCTCTAGGGAAAGAGAATAACAAGTAACCAAAGGTCAAAAAAGAAAAAAAACAAAATTATCGGTGTGGGAGAGGCGATGGAGGTGGGAAGATTTATACTTAAAAACTAGGTGCAATGCACACCACTGGGGGTTGGACACGCTTGATGTTTTGGTAAGTTGAGCGGCGGGAGAGGAGATGGCAGGGCTATATGTAACTAACAATTGTACCCCTAATATGATAAAATAAAAAAGGGAAAGGAGAAGGGATTTCAATCATTTACATTTGACATGAAAATAAAAATACGCATGTTATCTGTCTAAAGACATTATTCTTATTACTTTTTAACACTGAAAATTGCGTGAGGATTAACCATTCATGATCCATTCATTCATTTTAAGTACAGCAACGTAATGTATCCAGTAAAGGTATTTACATCACATAAACATATTAAGTGCTCACAATTTATCACCAGCGAGAGACTATCAATTAACATTTCATAGGAAGAGTTCAGGTTAGGAAAAGAAATGTTACTTAACAAATTGCAAGAGCTTGTTGTGGAAGAGTCTGAGCATATAATATTCATCGGAGACTCCACATTTGAAAGTTTTATCTCTAAGAGCCCTACCAGTTCTCACAATGAATTTTAGAGAAAATCCCCTCAGCTTCAGCAGATAGGAAGTAAGTAACCATTAATGTCCCCAAAATTGTTGTACTTCTACAAGGTCTGCCTGCGGAGAAACATATTCGGAGAGCTTAACCTTTTAGTTTATAGAGTACATGACCTTTGGGAAGGAAAACCAAAACTGAGCCCTCAGGCTTATGTGGAAAAGGAATATACCCAAATGTTTATGAATGTAAATAGACAACCTCTGTGAAGCAGTTGGATTTCTCAAGTACTAAAAAGACGCCATTTGATCCGCAATCCATACGTAGTTATCTACCCAAAGGAAAATAATAATTTATCAACATGATATCAATGTATTGTACCTGATTTTATCACAGCACATTTACATTGGACCAACCTAAGTGTCGGGTCATCAATTGATTAATGGTAAAGAAAATGTGTATGGTGATAACCAAAACATACCCCATAATATACTCAGCCAAAAGATGAATGAATAATTGTTTTCAGCAACTTGGATGGAACTGAGACCATTTCTTAGAGTGAAGTATCTCAGGATAAATAAATAAAAAGAACTCACATATTCTTACTTATAAGTGGAGTAAATCGACGATACTATAGTCATAAAGTAGTAAATGCGCATTGTAAAACTAAAGACGTAGATAAGGTGGAGTGGAATGAGGGATAAAATTCTACTTATCAGAAGCCAAGACTGTGGTGGCTCATACCTGTAATTGCCTCGGGAAGCCGACAGCAGGTGATTGCTGGAGGTCAGAGTTTGAAACCGCCTGAGCAAGGGAGCGAGATCCATTCAGTGAATATAGAAAGGATTAATGACAACTAAAAAAATTATATAAAAATTAGCCAGGAATGGTGGTGCCTATATGGAGGCTGGAGGCAGTAGATCGGTTGAGCCAGGCTTTGAGGTTGCTTGTGCTAGGCAGATGCCACAGACTCCTCATAGCCTGGAGAGCAAAGTTAGCTTCTGGTCTCAAAAAAACAATCTACCTATCAGTATAATGTACATATTTGGGTTATAGGGACACTGAAAATCCTGACTTCAGCATGTACCATTCATCCTGTATAAAAATTTACGTAGTAACCCTGTTGGGTGGTTAGGGTGAAATCGAAAAGTACAATCAGGAACAATGGAAATCACCTAGTCATTAAAGCCTAAAAATAAAACAGCACGAGAGTCTGGGAGACCAGATGTGTAATCTAATCAACCACAGACAACGCTGCGCTATGCTG